GGAGAGAGTTAAGAAGGTGGTGAGCACGGAAAAAAAAGAACGGTCATGCACACCATCAAAGTACATGCAAATAGAGAGCATACAGAGCACCCACAAAAATGAAAATACACAAATATTTAAACACAGAAGTTAAAAGAAAACAAAGCAGCCCCATAGGAGTAATATGACAGGGATAAACTTTCACATATAAATAATCAACTTAGGCCAGGCATGGTGGCTCACGCCTATAATCCCAGCACTTTGGGAGGCCGAGTTGAGAGGATTGCCTGAGTCCACGGATTCGAGACCAGCCTGAGCAACTTGGCAAGACCTCATCTCTACAATAAATTAAAAAATTAGCTGGGCATGGTGGCGGATGCCTGTAGTTCCAGATACTTGGAAGGCTGAGGCGGAAGGATCGCCTGAGCCCAGCAGGTCGAGGCTGCGGTAACTGGGAGCATGCCACTGCCCTCCAGCCTGAGTGACAGAGTAAGACTCCAACTCAAAAAATAAATAAATAAATAAATAAATAATCAACTTGAACATGAATGGTCTAAATATGCTACTGAAGAGACATAGAGTGGAAAACTGGATTTTTTAAAAAAATGATCCAACAATCTTCTGCCTCCAGGAAACTCATATCATGACAAAAGACACACACAAACTCAAGATTGGAGGCTGGAAAACGACCTTCCAGGTGAATGGAAAACAGAAGAAAGCAAGTGCAGCTATTCTAATATTTGACAAAGCAGTCTTCAAGTCATCAAAAATGGACATCAAAGGATACTATATAATGATAAAAGGGTTAATCCACCAGCAATAAATAACCATCCTAAATATATATGCACCCAACATAGGAACACCAGGTTTTATGCTCTTAACTACTAAGTAAACTAAAAAAGAACACTGACTCTCACACAATCATAGTAGGAGACTGAAATATACCACTAACAACTTTAGATAGATCATTAAGGCAAAAAACCAACAATGAGATATGGAACCTCAATGCAATGCTCAATCAAATGAACTTAACAGACTTCTACAGAACATTTCACCCACCAAGTACAGAATACACTTTCTACTCATCAGCACATGGAACATACTTGAACATCAATCACATTCTTGTAGATAAATCACGCATGAACAAATGTCAAAAGATCAAAACAATACCATGCATCTTCTCATATCACAGAAGAATAAAAATAAATATTGCCACCAACAAGATTCCTCCAAAACACACAAAGACATGGACTCTAAACAACATGCTGTTGAACAACTTCTGGGTCAACACAGAAAGCAAGACAAAAATAAAAAGATTCCAGGAAACAAATGAAAACAAAGACACACCTTATCAGAATCTCTGGGATGCCGTGAAAGCAGTGTTAAGAGGCAAATTCATAGCACTGCATGCACAAATCAAGAAAACAGAAGGATCACAAGTAGACAGCCTAATGTCGCAAACCTAAAGGAGCTGGAAAGGCAAGATCACCTAAATCCTAACCTCAGCAAAAGAATCCAGATCACCTACAGGACATAGAAGGCAAAAATATCATAGAAAGGATGAACAAGACCAAAAACTGATTCTTTGAAAGGATAAATAAGATTGAAGGTCCCTGGCCCGAATGACTTAAAAAAAAAAAATGAGAAAGTGCAGATAAACACAAATAGAAACACAAAAGGCAAAGTCACAACTGATCCCAAAGAAATTCAAAAGATTATCAAAGTTTACTATAAAAACTTGTAAACAAATAAACTAGAAAATCTAAAAGAAATGGAGTACTTCCTGACACCACACAACCTCCCAAGGTTGAAACAAGAAGAAATTGAAACTTTAAGGAGACCAATAATAATCCAGGAAATCAACTCAGTCATAAGAAATCTACCTACCAAAAAAAGCCCCAGACCCAATGGCTTCCCAGCTGAATTCTACAAGACATACAAGGAGAAGCCGATATCAATCTTACAAAAGTATTCCAGGCAAACAAGAAAGATGGAATGTTCCTCAACTCATTTTATGACGCTAACATCATACTGACACCCAAACCTGGCAAAGACCTAACAAGGAAAGAGAATTACAGGCCGATCTCCTTGATGAAAATAGATGCAAAATTTCTGACCAAGATCCTAGCAAATGGGATCCAACAACACATCTTTAGGATCACCCACCATAACCAAGTGGGCTTCATTCCTGGGATGCAGGGCTGGTTCAACAATTCCAAGACCATAAACGTAATCCAGCACATCAACAGATGTAAAACCAATAACCCCATGACTAAATCATGAGACACAGAAAATACATTCAACAAAATTCAGCATCCCTTCTTGAGAAAAACTCTTGAGCACCTAGGCATAGAAAGAGCATTCCTCAAAACGGTAAGAGCCATCTATGACAAACCAACAGCCAATATGTTGCCCAATGGGCAGAAATTGGAAGCAATCCCCCTGAGAATGGGAACTAGACAAGGATGCCCACTCTCATCCATTCTTCTCAACATAGTGTTGGAAGTCCAAGCCAGAGCAATCAAGCAAGAGAAGGAAATGAAGGGTATCCAAATAGGAAAAAAGGGAGTCAAGCTATCCCTCTTTGCAGACAATATGATTCTATGTCTTAAAAACCCTAGCAAGTCTGTCAGAAGCCACCCTGCATTGATAATCAACTTCAAGAAAGTCTCAGGGTACAAAATCAATGTGCAAAAGACAGCTGTATTTCTTTTTTATTTTATTTTAAAGATGTGGTTAGGTATACAAATGTTCATTATGCATGTACCCTTGTTGATGAGGTGTGCCCCTGTCCCATGACAGCAGCATTTCTATAGACCAGCAACTAGAGACAGAGTGCCAAATAAAAAGCATAATTCTATTCACAATAGCCACAAAAAAAATGAAATACCTTGGCATCTACCTAACCAGGGAAGTGAAAGACCTTTACAAGAACTACAAAATGCTGCTCAAAGAAATCAAGGATGACACAAATGGAAAAACATTCCATGCTCATGAATTAGAAGAATCAATATTGTCATCCGACCCAAGGCAATCTACATATTCAGTGCAATACCCATCAAATTACCAACATCATTTTTCTCAGTCCTGAAAATGGCAATATAGAAATTCATATGGAAACAAAAAAGAGCATGAATAGCCAAAACAATCCTCAGCAAAAGAACAAAATGGGAGGTATCACACTTCCAGACTTTAAACTTTAGTGCAAGGCTACTGTTACCAAAACAGCCTGATACTGGTACAAGAATAGGCACATAGATCAATGGAACAAGACAGAGATTACGGAAGCAAAAAATCTCTCAACCAACTCATCTTTGACAAAGTCACTAATAACAAGCACTGGGAAAAGGAAACCTTATTTAGCAAATGGTGCTAGGAAACCTAGTTGATCACATACAGAAGAATGAAACAGGACCCGAACCTATCGCCATATACAAAAATCAGCTCTAAGCCGGGCTTGGTGGCTCAGCCTGTAATCCCACGTCTTTGGGAGGCTGAGGTGAGTGGATTGCCTGAGCCCGCGGGTTCGAGACCCGCCTGGGCAGCGAGACCTCATCTCTACAACAAATCTAAAATCAGCCGGGCATGGTAGCGCATCCC